ACACGTGGGTTAAGGGAAATTTAGGATGCGATTTCAAATGACTGCTGGAAAGTCAATTTACAATTTTTTGAAACGTGTTTGAGAAAAATATGAAGAATAGGTACTAATCAAAAATTCCCATGCTCACATTAACAAACAAAGTCAGTTTTCCTTGTTAAAAAGTACTTTGAAATACCGCTCACAAAGTCTCCACAAGTAAAAAATAAAGGACTCTAGTACTTGATAATCGTAAATTTGCCATGTAACTGGCTGAATTATTTGTTGCTCAGTTAAGGTCAAGATCTAGTATATGTTCTTAGACTAACTTTTTGGTGCTAGATCCATTATGACGTCATAATCACTTTCAACTTTCTTTTTCCCGTACTTTACGGCTCTAATAGAATTATGTAGAAAATAAAGTATTTTCTTGGAATTCAATTTGAAATCACCTGAAAAGTAGTCCGGATACCTATATCACATTTAACATTATTTAAAAGAAGAGACGAACAACATGCAAATTACCGTTTTCTGAAAGACTGTAGGCAATCTGGATACATTTTGTTTGTGTGATATGCAAAAAACTCCCATATTCATGACTAATTTTCTTAATGTTTCATTGAAAATGACAGTTTAAAATATGGTTTTTCATCTTATTATCCTACAAATTATGCCCCGAAACACCTTTTTTGACCAAGCTAAAGTTATAAAGCATCATTAAAGGAATTCATTCCTTGAATTTGAAAAATCTGTAGGCACCCTCCATTTATTAGATCTTGACCTTAATTGTTATTATAGAAATTTAAATTTCATGGACTTGAGTTGCACGTTTTTTTTTTAAATTTACCTCTATATTAATTCTCATGTGCATTGATAATCGAACGTGTATTGAGTAGCTAGCATAATGTATGTTTCGAAGATGTATACGTTGTAAGCATTGTCAATACGTGAGCACACCTCAGAGTTGGTTTTTATTTACCGATTAATAGCCATGTGAAATTGACTTTTCACTGACTGTACAGAATGGGGAAAGCTGTAAACAAACTGACTTGTACAATGGAGTTGGGAATACCCTAATTTTTATCATTGTTAATCATTTGTATGTAAATGTGAGCATGGGATTAGTAGATAATAATGTACATATTATATTAAGCGTGTAAAATGCTTGAAAAAATGCATTACATCTTTCCGAGAGCGATTTAAAAAAAATGGCTTTTCAAAACACACATGTAGTATTTTTGTAGTAACCCATAATGCAACTCATTGAGCTGATTGGTCAATTAGTCAATCACGTTGGTTCCTCACTTAACACTTTTCCGACGTCACAGAAAATAGTTTCCTCTGTCCTTAAAGTCATTTCGTAATTTCTACGATTGTTACAATGACCTTTTCAGCAAAGACAATTTGTCATTGAGTCAAATACAGACTGACGTTTTCTTTATACTAATTGTTAGTCCATTATTTAGACATTGAATTGATGACGGATTTATTAATTATTTTCCGATCATGACAAGGAGCACACAGCTCGTATGACCGGTCGGCAGGGGATACTCATTCCTCCATGGCACCTGGTCCCACCTGTGATTTTTGGAGGTCCGTGTGTGCGCTGTTCCTATTTTGTATACATGTATATATGCGCATTTGGATGCTTTTGTCAATGTTGATATTTTTTAAAATTTGTATCTGGACTTTGGAAATCAAATATTATTGTTTTTGCAATATTTTTAACTATTTGAGGCATTAAATATAGATTGTTTGTCAAATAAAAAAAAATGTCGACAGTCGGTATTTAAATGGAAAATGAGTTTTACATTTACTTTTCAAATATTTACAGTTAAGATTGTTAATGATATAAATTTGAATAAGGAAGCCCCGTTTTGATTTGTATCAGGCAAATAAGAAAATTTTTACCGACTTCTTCTCATTTCCTGCTTTTTGCATCATCATTAAACAAATTTCAGTGTAACAAGAATATAAACAATAAATTTTAATCACAGAAGGAAATAATTAAACAAATCAAAAAAAACAAATGTGTTTAGGAGAGAAATTACATTATAAAAAGAGTATATGACATGGTCAGTAAAGCATCGTCATAAAAATATACACATGTACATACGAGGGTTGTTAGAAAAGTTCGCGGACACATTGAATTACGGAAAATCTATTGTTTACTGTGAAGTATGACTTATGGCTGAATGAATTCCTACATTTTGTTTATTGGTATGTAAAAAATCAGGTCAATATAATAAAATCTTAAAATTTTACAACTATTTTTACTATGGGGTTATGGGATTCACGGAGCAATCACTTGACGTAAGGCGACGTGACAACCAGATTTCAACCCTTTAAGTTTTGTCGCAGTTCTATGAATCTTTAATTTTTTTTTTTATATTTTTCTCATATTTTTTCTACTTTAAAATTGAATATCTATATCAAGACATGTTACTTTTCAACTATAATGTCTTTTTTATCTGTTTCGGATATTATTGAGATCTTAAAAAATAAAAAGGCTGTGCATTCAATCGATCAGGTATGGAACTATGCAAAACATAGGCGAAACGCAACGTCCATGCGATAGAGGGGTATTGAAGTATCGATGTAGTTAATCATTTAAAATGTTTCTCCTTCCATTCTTATGAAGCTACAACCACTTGAAAACTTGTTCTTTGTATGTGTAGGATATTCCCGGCAGCATCTTAAACATTTTAGTCTCTTTTTAGACATTTTCCTGTCTGCACACATAATTTTTACGTAGTGCACTGCTCCATGACGCTCAATGACGTTCCGATTTTTGGCTGTGTTCTTACGCGTTGATCATTTATAAACAGCTATAAAACAGCCATATACCCTCCAATTTAGTTCAAAATTTTTCCCAGTGACGTTTCCTGCATACTTTAGCGGCAGGTAAAATATCATAAATCTCTTGGCACTACAATTGTGCAATTTTTAATTTTAATAAAGAGTCTTTGTGATGTAAACGTGCCACAATGCAGCATGCTCCGTGAAGCAAGATTTATCAAAATAAAAATGCCGTATATTTTTCAATAATCACCGGAGAGCACCAAATTCTTGTATATTTATTGGAAAAAATGTCAAGATTATATCTGGAAAGTTTGACCGGTTTCATGGAAATAGCGCGATCACAATAGAACTTGTCCGCGAACTTTTCTAACACCCCTCGTACATCTATGATAATACAAATCAAAGGTGTTGCATTTGGAGAGGTTTGTTTCTTTCAATGTTTGAATTCTATTTTACACTAAGTTTGACATTCTTACTGTTGATTAAACTGTTACAATAAATGTCATTGTCGCAAGCTACAGCTATTGTGTCCATTCTATAGAAATATGACTCATTAATATTATGCAAAATATTTTTTTTACCCCTTCCCCTTTTTAACAATTGCTGCAATGCCGCCAAAATAACAATTCACGACAACGCATGCTGACACCACACATCTCAGAATGAAATACATATATACAACTTATAGAGTAAAATGCAACAAAGAAGTCGACAAGTTAAATTGATGCAAAGCATCAAATCGGCCGCAAACGAAATATTTAGCATTAAAGAATTTTTTTCACAATTTTCAAAGTGTCCATACAAGGAAAGCGCGTCAAGATATTCAAAGGTGAAATAGTTGAATCATTTTTATTTTAGGCTGTCTTCAAAGCAAAATAAATAATTAAATAAAAGAAAGAGGGCGTATAAGGCGTGTACAATCCCCCGCTCTGAGACAAAATGTTTCTCAATTTTCAAAATTCACAGAAATGTTACATTTTTCTAAAATCATGTTCTCAGTAATGTCATCTTCAAAACATTCTATTATTTTATTTTAATGAACGACATATCATTTGATAATCATTATTTCAAAATTGACAGTTTAGCATATTTAGTGGAAAATGGGTTTAATAGAGCTATAAAAAACGAATTTTGAACATGAATGGGTCAAGTCTCCATTCTTCGTGAAAGATTATACGATGAAAATATAAATGCGAAATCTATTTCATTTGTTCAAAAAATGGAATCTGAACCCATTCTTTATGAAAATCGAACTTTTCTGAAAAAAATTACGCTTCAACAAACCCGTTCATTTAAATCACACTGAAAGACATCAACAATGTAAATACTTCATAGCGTAGTGGTTAAACCGGTTGGTCTTGGACCCAATCTGCGCTATGGAGAGAGTTCGAATCATACGTTAAGCTTTTTCTTTTTTTGTTTTCAAATGTCTTAAAAATATGAGTGAAAAATAAATTATCAATAAATTATTTAAACAATGAAATACAGAATTTAATGTGAAAAAATTATATAAACCATAAAATTTTGAAAAAAATACTACTTTTAGAATTGAGAAAAGTCTTTTTTCAGAGCGGGGGATTGTCCTCGCCTTATACGCCTCCATTCTTTAAAAAAATAGACGTTTTACCGCATTTGCTTATAAATAGATTCATCAATGTTAAACAGGTCAGCGATAAATGATAAGAATTTATTGTCATCAAAATAAAGATGTAGGTCTCTCAAGATGAACCACGTGCTGATACCCTCGATCTTGGTCACGTGATAATGCCCATGGCTAAGGCCGCAATGCAAAATGTAGAAAAATGTCTTTGTATTTAATTTGCAGTTCTAGAGCATGTTCTAAACAATTTTTACTGGTTGATTTTTTTTTTAATAATTTTTATTCACCATGCAATTTTACACTTCATTATTATCCGGAAAATCATGACGATTTCCTTTCATATCTTATACACTCCCAGGCTGGGGAGTATCTATTGTAAACTCTCTTTACATAACAATAAATTATCGATTATCTGATTGGAAATGATAATTAAATTGAAACATAGTATCAGTAATTAATACTTAGTTTAAAGCAATTTTTAAAAATATTTTACTCATGATTTTTACTTTTATCATTTGAGAAATATTTCCCTGACCTAATGAAAAATAACGTCTCATTTCCCCATGTGCACTTTCTAACACAATCACAAATAGATCGGCCGCTGCTGCGGCCGATAATAAACAATGTTTAACGTTATTATTATTAATGCCAATATCTCTGGATAAAGAAAAAAAACAGGTTTATCTCTGAGAGGAGAACCCTTGATATTTCAAATAAACGTATATTAAATACACTCACTATTATTACTCCATCTTCACATTATATAACACACATAAAAGACGTTTTCAAGCATAGCTCATGCACACATGTAAAGCGGAAGTAATCTTGTTTCCTAAAATTATGTGATCAGAGAGAATAAAGGGGGGAAATTAATGTTCGAACATAACACAAAACACGGCTATTATAACAACACTAGACAGACAGTTTTAAAAGAACATTGAATGACTAAAAAGAAATCAATTCTCCCCATATGCCAAAAGCATTTGTAAGGCATGATTCTGTCGGTATTGTTTAGCAATATCAACAGGTAATATGGCATTAATATCTGATTCATTGACATCACCAGAGTTCTTTAAGAGCAATCTTAGAATATCGAGAAGTCCTTTCTTTGATGCATACCACAATGCTGTTCGCCCACCAATATCTTTTGAGTTTACTTCAGCCCCTTTTTCAATAAGGAGTTTTGCAATATTGGTGTGGCCCTTACTTATAGCCAAGTGAAGAGGGGTTTCAAACCCTTTATTAACACAGTTGACTGAAATTCCTTCCTCCAAAAACATCTCTATAAACTTTTCATATCCACAAAATGATGCTAAAAGAAATAATTCACTCATACTTTTTTTACAATAGTAATTTCCAGTTTGAGCAAGAATGACTTTATAAGTTTTTACGTGGTTCATTGCTACCGAAATCCATAATAAGCTTTGTTCAATATATTTATGGTAAACGAAATGAGCACCTTGTGTTAATAATGTGTTAACAACTGCTGAGCAACCTCGAACTGTTGCAATATATAAAGGATTCAGTCCGTTGATATCCGAAATATTAGGATCTGCTTTGTTTTGAAGAAGAGTATTCACAGTATTTACGAAGTCATTCGCCGAGGCGTACCATAACGGGGTTCTACCATTATTATCGTAATCATTTGCATTAGCTCCGCTGTCAATCAAAAGTTGAACTATTTTAGAATTCCCCTCACTAGCAGCTAAGATAATTGCACTGACATGATTGCAGTTGTGAATATTTACGTCACATCCGGAATTAATTATCATTTTTATCACATCAAAGTTTCCCCACACAATAGCCATGAATAAAGTGTTTACATTTGATTCATTAAAATCAGCTGCATTTGCAAAATTTTCACATGCTTTGTTTTGTAACAGGTGTTCAAATATGAGTATGTGATTGTTCTTGACAGCAATATGAAGAGGACTTATTTGATGTTCATCAGGCTGGTTAATATTTGCATGGTTTTGCAGAAGCAGTTTTACAATTTCAATAAATCCATAAGCCGAAGCATACCAAAGAGGAGATCGACCGTTATCATCAACAGTATCTACAATTGATCCCATCTCAATCAAAATCTTAGCAGTAGTATAATGACCTTTTTTCGAAGCAATAATGAGAGGTGTTTGGTTACACGAGTCTTTAAAGTTGATATCACTCCCATTTTTCAATAATAATGTGACAACATTAACACTTTCATTTTCTACTGCAGTTAAAAAAAGAGTTCTTTTATATTCTTCAAATTCTGGTTCAGACAGGCCACTTCTCAATGAACCTTTATAAAACCTGTTTTTGTGCAGAGATGAAGAATCTAAGGATTTGTGGACATAAAATTTCAAGATTTTTTCCATAAGAAACTGTGCTACTTCTATATGACCTTTTTGACATGCATAATATAAAGCATCTCTTTGTTCGGCATCTTTTGTGTTAATATCTGCACAACTTTCTACTAAAATTCTAACTACATCAATGTGACCATTTTTGGCCGCAAATATTAGGGAAGAAAAACCATGAACATCTTGCGCATTTACATTTGCTTTTAGGGCAATCAACTCTTCAGTTAGCTCTAAATGTCCAAACTGCGATACAAACATCAACACTGTTTGTTTTTCAATGTTTTGATGATTTATATCTATATTGCACAAAAGAAGCTTTAAAACAGATGGGCCATTTCGTTTTGCAGCAATAAGAACCGGAGTATCACCTTTATAATCACATAAATTAGGATCTGCATTTGAGTGAAGCAACGTTTCGGAGATATCTCTTTGTAAAGTATGAGAAGAGATCCAAAGTGGCGTTCGCATTTTAAAATCAATACAATTTACGTCAGCACCTCTTTCTAACAAAAATGATACTGCATCTACATGCCCTGCGGCACAGGCTGCATGTAGTGGAGTTAGACCTGAATTGTCTTGTTGATTAATAAAAGCACCCCTTTTAATTAGGGCGGTAGATATATCAAAATCTCTATTTTCAATGGCATACCATAACGAACTTCGTCCAAAGGAATCCTTAGCATTGATGTCAGCCAGCTTTACTAAGTAAAGAACAGTGCTAAGGAGTCTTTCGCGAACAGCATGAACTAAAGGATTTTGTCCATTCCTGTCTTTTTCGTTAATATTTGCATTATTCTCTATAAGAATTGATATAGTTTTATTATGTCCATGTTCTGCTGCAACAATTAATGGAGTGTATCCGTCATGATTTCTTATATTGATATCAGCATTTCTTTTTAATAGCCACTGAACAGTTTTATAATGACCTTTTTTACAAGAGATGTAAAGAGCGGTTTCATCATATTGGTTTTGAAAGTCAATGAGGACTGCATTTTGCGAAAGAATATCAACCAGATGTACATTACCTCGATCTGCTGCATGATGCAATGCAGTATTTTCGTCTTCATCAGACATTCGAGCATTAGCTCCCATTTCAAGCAAAAGCTTGACTACATCTTCTCGTTCCCTTTGAACAGCAACAAAAAGGGGTGAATTGTAACTAAATCCTTGCCTGTTGACGTTTAGACCGTAATCCTTATACAATTTAACGACTGAAACATGTCCTTTTTCACATGCTATGGTAAACGGATCCATATTTCTTTTATTACGAAGATCAGTATTTGCATTGTGTTTTAGTAGTAATAATACTGTGTTCACATGACCATGTTCTGTAGCAATGTGAAGTGGACCCATCCTATCTTCGCCAACCTTATTGATATCAGCTCCGTTGTCTAATAATACCTGAATGATTGGAAGAAAACCACCTTGAGAAGCATACCACAGTGCAGTGCGACCATTTTTATCAGAAAGTTCTAAATCTGCCCCATAATCTAATAATATACATACAATCTCTATGTGTCCCTTTTCGCATGCTATCATAAGAACAGTTTTACCTTCCAAGTTTCGTAGATTAACCGGGTCTCTTTGTTGCAGAAGTTGGAGGAGAGACCCAAGATTACCGTATTCCGCAGCAATAAATAAAGGACTGACATTTGATTCGTCACATAGCTCACTTTTGGATTTATGTGCAATCAGAACTGCCGTTACCTCACTATGACCTTTATAGCAGGATACCCATAAAGGACTTCTTTTTTTCTTGTCCTGACAGTTAATATCGACACCTTTCTCTAAAAGAAACTTTACGACCTCGGTTTGTCCATGTATGGACGCTAGAATTAAAGGGGTTTCTCCATTTGCATTACGGTGATTTTTATTTGCACCGCACTGAATAAGTTCTTCTGCAATTCTGACGTGTCCTTTTATAGCTGCATGACACAAAGGTGTATCTTTATTGCAATTAGTATGGTTAACGTCAGCATTGTTCCCCAGAAGCAATTTTACAATATCTAGATTACCCCCATACGATGCATGGGCAAGCGCATCATCCCCGCTTTTGTCACATTGTTCAATAGTTTGTCTGTTTTCAATCAAACGTCTGACAACCTCAACGTGCCCATGCAATACCGCAAAAACAACAGGTATTTTTCCTGATACATCCTTGATATTAAGGTTACAATTTGATCTTAAAAGAATCTCTGTTATCTTCATACAACCATTTTTGGCTGCTTCATGCAGGGGAGTACATCCTATATTATTAGATTGGTCGACACATGCTCCATTGAGCAATAGAAATTCAACGACATCTATACATCTACTTCTTGTGGCCAATAAAAGAGGGCTATCGTCAAAAGACGTTTTAGTGTTTATCTTCATCTTATCAAGAACAAACTGTACTACATAAACGTAATTACTTAAACATGCATAATGGAGTGGTAAAAATCCAGCATTGTTTTGAATATAAATGTTGGCATGAAACTTTCGTAACAACTTAATTGTACGCCATGAACGTGTAATCTGTTGTTGAGATAGTAAAACTTGCATATTACTTATTGCTGCATGCAATGGTGTATTACCATGGAAATCAGTTGTATTTACAGACACTCCTGTTTTTAACAAATATTCTGTGACATGGTCATGATGCAGAGCCGCTGCTACATGCAATGCATGAAAATCTGTTTGTAGACAATGCCACTTTGAATTTATGACACTGTGTCCAAGTGCCCAAGTTATTTGTTTTACGATATCTATATTTCCATTGGCACAAGCGGCAATGAAAATATTCTGAGAACGAAGCGTTTCCTTTTCAACGTTCATTTTAAGTAGACTATGAAATATTGCTAAAAATATTTCATTATGATCAAACATTAATATGCATGCCAATGGAGATATATCATATGCGTAAATCGCTAATTCCAATTTGAACTGCAAAGATCCTAGTGTTGCATCATGTAAAAGGTCAGTAAGCAATTTTAATTGCGCTGCACTCGGATATGTGAAATAACGTGAAATTCCTGGATTATTAAGAAATGATAGAATTGTTCTAGTTAAATTTGCATTGTCAGGATGTATCAACATTGATGAATACAAAACTGTAGAAGAATGAGTTCTTTTCATGGTTTCAACTTCCTCCGAAGAAATAAGATTGTATTTTTCTATGATCATCACAAAAATGCAAGACATCTTTTTTATTATGTCCAGAACAAAATTATTTGTCTTCTCGCGAAGATTCGGGGGCACTGATTCTACTATATTTCGAATCAGCTTATGAAATGAGTTTTCCAAACAAGCGATCGTCTCTTCATCTATGGAGCTATACAGGGATTGAAAGAGTTGTACGCAATTACACGATATATCGCCGTGATCACTATATTCATTGTCATCAGAATTCCAGGATATATCGCCATAATCACTATATTCATTGTCATCAGAATTCCAGGATATATCGCAATGATCACTATATTCATTGTCAGCAGAATTCGAGGATATATCGCTGTGATAAGTGTCATTAGAAAATGTTGAAGATACACTGTGATTGTCTTCATCGTCCTTAGATGATGCATAGAATGTCACTAAGGAATCAATACTTTGTGAAACTTCTTCAAAGTAATTTGAAATGAGGTCTTCTATTTTTTGTCTTGTAAATTCGTCTAGACCGTTCATAAATTCCTTATATCTTTGGAGTACTAATCTCAATTCATTGCCTATTTCGTCCTCAATGAACTCATCGTGTGTAATGCAAGCAGCAAGCAGCATCAACTCTTTACACTGTGATGCTCTGTGAAAAATGCTTGAAATATAGGAATACACAGTGAAAGATCTCTTCATTGGTGGTTTAAGAAACAGGTCTTTTAATTTTTCGCCTGAAAGCATTTCAATTCCTTCCACGATGATTTTTTGAATTTTTTCATTTTGATACAAAGAGCAGACGCATATTTCTACTAGATTCTTTTGTATATCGCTGAAAAATCTTTCACATAAAAAACTTGCGCAGTCAGATAAATTCAAGGTTAGATAAGGCAGCCCTGTGACATGGATAGTATCTCCTACAACATCCATTTTTCGGAGAAATTGAACTGGGGAAAATCTGATAAAATTCTCTGGATTATCGTTCCCAAAAATATATGCCATTATATTCATTATGAAATTGTACCGAAAACGAATATTTTCGCCATCCATTGTTAGTAACGAGCCGTTTAGATTTTGCATTTGTTCCATTATGTTGGAAGTTCGAAAAGACTTATTTTCTTGACTCAGTCCGCAAACATCGCAAATTGTTTCATAATCGTAAACGTTAGCATTGTTGATGAATGACCTTTTGTTCATTATCCCCCCTTGTGTAAAGAGAAGAACTAATGTACAGTATTTCCATCTATTGTGAAATTTGTAATAAGTTATTTCATCTTCAATAACGATTGAGGGCAGCACGAAAAATTTACTTCCTATGCTCTGATATTTTTTATTTGACCCAAAGAGAAAACAAAGAAGAGGAAAGTAATCATTGGTCTCAAGAATTTGATTTAGTTCTGTCTTCGATAGGTTATTGCTTTTAGGGTAGTGGAGATGCAAAATACTATCTTTCTCATGGATAGAAAGTGACAAGCTACCATCATCAATAATGACGACATTTTTATGTAGTAACCTAAATTCCTGATGCTGTCTGAGTACCGACGTTCGGCATGTTATCAAGATCTTTATATAGTCTGATTCCTGTAATGGATCGAACAATGGCTCATAAGTTCTCCAATTTCTTATGAATTGCTCATCAATCCCCTCTCTTCCAATTGGATCGTCTATTACAAAAAATAGTTTATCGGCAACTCTAATGTCAGCGAAAGTAGCGATATCTGCTACATCAGTTACAGGTATTACTTGCCATCCATTCGTTAAGTACGAAATCGCAACTTGTTGTGCCAAGGCAGACTTACCGCAGCCCGAATTTCCAGAAACTGTCACTGTAACTGCCATCTTTAATTTTCTTTCAACTTCTTTGAAGGCTCTTGTCGGATAGAATTTTCTTCTCTCTTCTGTCCATTTGTCAATTATGAGTCGCTTTTTGGTCATTTCTAAGATTAAATAATTATTATTGTATTTAATAAATCAATATGCAGAAATTGACTCTCTAATTTACCTTAACAAAAAAATACTCCGGTTAGCTAAAGTTGATCAACGTTTTCGCAATAGAAAAAGTAAAGTATATTTACCATGAGTTCCAGAAAAAAAATTATTTGATATTTTAATTCCTTAGAGTTCATTTTCTGATATAAAAAGCAATTATTTCTTATATGTTTCCATATTTTTGTAAATGATAACATAATCGGTATGCGATTTAAGATATATTAATAAGTATCTATAACTTCAAAGAAAAAAATTCTAGACTATATCTATCTATAGTACACTAAAGTGAAATCTTGTTATGGTATTCTTTCAAATAGGAATATCCTTTTGTTGTAGCTTTGATTCTATTTTTTATGAGATTATTTCGGCTTCTACTCTAGCATGTTTTGTAACACATTAAGAAATAATCAAACTTACAAGAGAAAATAATTTCATGTTATTTCACAACAATTATTAAGAATAATTGTTAAAAAGGAAACAACGTTTGAATAAGGCACTGTTCACATGGAGAATGTGGATTAAACGTAAATAACTGCTGATAAAATTTTAACCGCTCATATGGAAAAATCAATGCGAATTAGTTTATTTGAATAACTTTATTGCGCATTCAATTACTTTGCATTAGTTCCATGTGAACGTTAAGCGAAGCTACTTTGAATTTAATTGTGACACTATGGGCAGAATTACGTCAAAGGCTATATGTAGATGATCAGATATAAGTACTTGTGCTAATTGTGCATGTGTTGAAAACGGAAGTAAAAATAATTTTTTTCACTTAAATGTTTTTGGACTCTATAACATTGTGTCAAATGTATAATGTGACGTGATTTTCAAATGAATTAAAAAAATCTTACTGAATAGTCTTATTGTAGAAATGAATTTAGGGATTAGTATATGTTGCATTAACTGTCCTGTGACGCGATTCAATTCGCAACAATTAACTGCGTATTTAATTTTTTGTGTAATCAGGACATGATTTGTATTTCGTTTTACATCCCTTTTAAGATAATTAAATTTGTGTTGTAAAACATCATTTATTTGAATAAAAGATTTACTTTAAATCGTTAAACATAAGTCGCCTATGTCAGTGTGATTTTTGAGGTAAAATTGTCTTATTGTCTACAATGACATTAAGGTATGTCACTCGTGAAATTTGTTATATCAAGGATTTATTGAGAAGTATATTTTGGAATAATTTAATTTTGTTAATATTGTTATGGACTTTATATATAGAAACTTTAATAAATAATGCTTTTGTGATTTTATAGATAATATGTTTAATAACTTTTAATGTTTATTTCATGTCTTGGTTATCGTTCTTTGTTGTATTGTATAGATGTCGCTTTAATTTAATCACGTGATTATTATATTTGTATATAAACCATGATTTTTGTTAATTTGTTAGTCTGTTGGCTCGAGGGTTCTGAATAAGAACCATAGTTCCTGGATAAGGAAATAGATGCCAAGTAAAAGTCCTGAATGAGGCAACCATTCCTGAATAAGGAAATATCATAGCTTTGATCCTGAATAAGGATAACTATTAATTTATGCTGTGTCTTGCTGTGCCATATGTTTGCAATTGATGACTGATAGACTTCCAATAAATTCTATGAAACTACAACATCTTTTCATTCAAAGAAGTAAGAAATCAAAAGAACCCCGTAACAATATTCTAGTCTCTCATTGGTTGATTTCCAAAAAGGAACGCAGAATAAAACATAATAACCTGGTTTGGTATGGGGACACACCCCCTTGACAACCAGCTGATTCATCTGTATCTATGCAATCCCACATTTCCAGTCCATGGGATAACATGGAAAATTCCAGATTTAATAAATATATCTTTAACTTCAAAGAGTAGCTCGCTCTTACTTCGTGTAAACAAACATCATGGCTGCCAGATCTGTGCATCAGTTATTACGTCCCCTTGTTTCAAATCACTTCCGTTACTAGGGATGTATTATTGAGCGGCAAATTTGAACTCATAAAAAGCATCACAATTTTACACCCACACTTGTTTAATTATTCAAATCAAATTACAAGGAATGACTCTAATTCTTGGCCAAATTATTCGATTATAACCTGGTTTGTGTCAGTTTACGTTTTTTTATAATCCGCTTCGTGATCTTGCAAATTAATGCGCGTAAATTATTGTATGACCTTTTTGCCCTAAAAGTAACATAGTTTGGGGTATTAAAAAATAAAAAGGCAATAAAACATTTTCTTAAATCAAACTTTTTTTTCAAGTTCTTTTTTAAGTGCTGATCAATCACAAGTATCGAGTACTTTAAAATAATGAAAGAAAAAGTTGGGGTCAGTGATGTTAAATTTGAAATATTGGTTAAAATTTGAAATTTTCAGGCAAAAAATGGTGTTAATTTTATATTTACTTATTTGATATATCTTAATTTTTTGGCAAAGTTTGTTGAAGGAAGGTATAAAATTTGTTCTAAAAATATAAATTAAGACCTATACGAAGGTTGTCCCGCAAAATCGTGGACAAGTTGTCCAGTTTGAAAAATAATCATCACTGCGTTCTGAAATTTTCACCACTCTTTAGTATATATATTATGAATATACATGGCAAATTTCAAATAAATATATGCATAAATAATCAAATCGTGATATTTTATGTTTTGTACTGTATCGCCCTACGGCGCACGGATGATAACGTCAAAGTGTCTAAAACAGCGTCACGTTTCATCTTTGCTAAACTTAAAGTTGGATAAGCCCCACTTAAATTTAGAAATTTTATTGATTTACATACGTGAGTGTCTATAACCAGATAAGGAACCAATGTGGCACACTCATGCGATCTTCTGAATATTTATTAGCAAGTTACGGACAGTATTCTCACCATCATTCAACTAAAAGAGAATCTCACATCTACGGTCGACAATGACAGCGTCCTTTGCTATTACAATAGCAGTCTGTCCATATGTTTTGTACTATCTGGGGACTCAACCACGAAGACTTCGCTAAGAAAACTTTCATTTCATTTATATACTAAAGATCTGGTGATATTTGTCATATTTCCTTTCTTCTGTATTCATTTAAAGTCTCTTAAGGCGTCATTACAACATCCTAATCTATCTGAACTGCTCTCCGGTGCGCCGTAACGTCATCAAAAGTCGCCATTTTTCGTGTATTGTGTTTACCACATTCCGATTTCGAATGATCGGGATACTGCTAAAAACTAACCAAATGCCTTGAAATTTTTAAAAAGACAACAGAATTGATTAAGGAATTGAATTAGGATAATTTTCATCCTAATCTTATATATTGAAAACTTTTATTACGAATTAATTCTTGTGTCTTCTCTAATATAACCTTTCTATTTTTACCGTGCGCCGTAGGACCGTACCTTGTGCACATTCAAGCAGAATAAAATCTTTATTTTTGAATATATATTAGCAAAAACATAATGATTCACTTAAATATGATAAATAAACATTTACTGAAAATTTCAGCTTAGTGCACCCATTGCTTTTCGAGAAAAACGCTTTGTCCACGATTTTATGGGACAACCCTCGTATTAAATATTCCTAGCAATATCAGAATGGAAAATATTCTCCGAGTAAAAGTATGTGAGGCTAAAAGTTCAAGATATCAAATTTGATAAATGTGCAGATTTGCAGAATTATCTGCTAAATATCCTTTCACCACAAAAAAACAGTCCCTCACAAATCTTGCTTCTTTGTAGCTTTTTGAGCAGTTTTTTTTGTTGAATGTTAAAACATTAACATTGTTGAAATTACATATGTTATAAAAATTTATTTTTGATAAATAGTTTTGAAGTAAGAAGTTCTGCGTGAACTTTTCCAAAAAGCTGACGAGTGACCTACCTTAAAGTATAAAGATTGAAGCTTATTCTTATATATTTTAAACGATATCATATAATTGTTCACACGTGAATTATTTTACAGTTGAATTCGTTTACAATGAAAGGAACCTATAACAAACCATTAAATGCAGTGTTTTATAGATATATACTTGTCAAAATATCTAAGTCCCCACTTTTATTTTTTCAAAAAGTTATAAACTTTAACTTCAATTTACTAGTTGCTTATAGATTTGCCTTTAATTTGCAATACTTGTCAAGACCAAAAAAAAAAATTTAATCGAACGTGTAATTACTCCACCGTGACCGTTTTTGTTAAAAAGCATGAGGTTCGGGTTCCATATGTTTTTTGGGTGTATTTTTCATGTTTGTTACTTCCATGTGTTCTTCATCTTTAATTGATAACGAAAAACAGAAAAAAGCTTGTATAAAATGCGGTCTATGTCCACACAACAATGTGCAAGTGAAGTTAAAATGGGTCAAGTTGGTCGTAGTTAACGAAAGTGATGTTTCTTTTCAATGTATGGCTTTATTTTACTTAAAACCTTTATAATTATCGCCTGAAAACCTACAAAGCATGCCTGAATTCCTTTTAATCATTAGAAATCGCTAGATTTTCAACAAACACCACAAAATCATCCCAGGGTTTATCCGGAAAAATCAATGGAACCGGAACCGGAAGTGCCCTCCCCTCAATGTCAAACTGGAGGAGTGGGGAATACATGTAAGAAGACGTTATGTAACTATTGTAGACAAGGCACAGACAATTTCGATAAGCCCCTTGTCATCCTAATCTCAACCCTAATAAGCATGTATGGAGGAAGATAGAGCAGAGGGTGAGGCAGCATTTCCAGCAGCAGAATCTAGTGGAACTAGAGGACGATGTAGTCTCTACATGGAAAAAACATTCAATAAAAGATTTTTTCTTAAATAGTGTGAACTCCTTGAGAAACGGTTATTTTGCTGTGAATTCCTTTGAATGGATAATAATGCATCTCCGTTGTGAGTTTTTAATTCTAGAGTGGTTTAACGTTTCTGCATGCTGTGTTAAAACGCTTCAATAAAAGAAATGAAGTTAGAAAAATTGTTTTTGCTACTTTATTATCCTTTCTACTTATTAAATTATCAAGTTAAAATAATTCAATTTAAGAGCGAGGTAAAGCAAAAACTTGCCTGGGGACTTAGAAATTTTGACTAGTATATTTTTTTTTTTGTATTTTCTAAACTAAGTGTGTAATTTAGGACCTTTTTAAATTAATTTATTCTGTGAATTAATTTGATTTTTTGTGGATGTCGAAAATATAAATGTGACTACACTGTTATAAAGACGAAACAAGTCTCGGGCTGTCTTTCCAGAACAAATATAAATGATGTCGGTCATCAGCATAATATATACTATACAACTGCCATGTAACCAATGAAAAATGTTTAAAGTACTTGTAAATAAAACTTCAACAACTTAAAAAAAAATATATAATTAAAGAATTATGAAAAATATTTTATGTTTATTAATTAACTTAGGCTACTTTTAAAAACACAAACCTCTCGAAAATAATTCAGGATACCGTAGAGTTGCCTCAAGTGGATTATTTTGACAAACTTCATGCATATCATTGCCAATTGCACATCGTCTTAGGTGTTCTAAATTCTAAAATAAAAATTTTGAAAAGATATTATAATTTAATATATGAATTTTAAAATGTTTATTTGGTACAATTTACGAAAATTGAGATAAAAAATTGTACAACCTTAACATAATTCCCGGTCCTAAGAATATCATCCATCGTTTCACATACGGTTTTAAAGTCCCTCCAATAATTTAAGAAATCATCTTCTTTTATTTCAGCAGATGTTTCCGTCAGGTGTAAAATCTTATTTCTATAAAATCGAATTTTTTCAACTGCCGCTGCAACAGTCTCAATATACCAGGGGAATTTTTTGCTCGGATCATTTATTGGTCCACCAAACTTTGTAAAATGTCTAAATATTAAAGAATGATTTATTAGAGATAGCATTAATTTTTGTGGAAACATAATTGCAACACATTTTAGTTCGAGTTCGAGATTTTATGACTTAGGTTGATAAGCAAAAGTAAACAACGGAGCGTTATTCTTAACGTCATTTTTGGATTATTTGTGTAAAATTTAAAGATTTTAAATGATTTTTTTAATTTTAAAAATGTCACATAACATATACCACATGGCTTCCTGGGCGTTTATATCCAGAATATAACATTTTTGAAGAAATTTTCCCATTATATCACAAATAAAATATTTTTTATCCATATGACCGGAAAAACTGCTGCCGGATATAATTATATTTCACCAGAAACAGTTATATTGCACTCCCGAACACAGTTATGTTCCCTCGCGTGCAGTCATTTTGCTTATGAAATACGTCGGGTTCGAAATTCACAGAGGCAGTTGCTAGGCAAACGTAAACAGAGTCACGAAATTAACCACTTCTGTGCCACAGGGCAGATTTTTGGCCGATTACACAGTTGCGTAGAGTGCCACGGGGCCGATTTTGGGCCGACTTAAGTATATTTAACACAAACAAACTTTTTTTCAGAAATCAGCATTATTTTTCATAGATTTACATTTAAATGATTATAATGTTTACCAAGTAAATTGAGAGAATTATATAAGATTTTGTCATGAGGTTAAAAAACTGTGCAAAATCTTGTATGGAATTATATAGAAAGCAAAACAAAATCTCATATCTAAGCAACAAGAAAAACCTGCGATTTCTTAATTTTTCAGGGATTTATTATTTATGTCTTTTCAAATCAAAATCAGTCAAAAATATATATCAACCCGCTCATCCATTTTTTGTTTGTGGTAAGTATCCTTAAGTCTAAGTCTGTTTCATGATCCTAGGGCCTAGTGCTGATATTATAGATAGCAATATCAAAAATTGCGTACATGTATGTCTATTTACATGTCGTGTTCGGCTTTAAGGACAGCATGTAAAGCCCTCCCTCGGTATTTGGTGACTGCTCTATATGAGTAAAATGTTTTTCTGTGGTACGTTATACAACGTACAAACAATGAATAATATTTTCATTTAGTTTATTCGTCTAAGTTATTCAAATAAAATTGTTCCATTAAAAAATTGAGGTCTGGCCCCGGGATCATGAAGCATCTTAAGCTTAAGTCAAAAAATGCCTTAGATGCTGAAGTTTTTTAGGGGTCAAGTAGCCCAAAATGGAAATGCTTTCCGATTTTGTATCATCAGTCTGCTGTTGTATGCAAATTATGAGTTTCCTTTCACAAGTTTTCAAGATTTTATAAATAATTGAAATTTTGACTTAAGTCTAAGTCTGTTTCATGATCCCGGGGCCTGGACACAAATTGTTTACAAGTGTAAATACTTGATGAATTTTAAAATTTATGAATATCTTCTTTCAAAGAATGAAATTGTTTTAAAATCTAGCTTCGAAAAAATAATACTAAAATATTACAAGATACGTACTTTATCAATACATACAGCAAAGGTACATCTAAATCTTCATAAGATTTTTGTGTGGCTGCTCCCCGTAAGGAATCCCAGATGTTGTTTGCGAGTTTCATATTTTTTTGTCTCTTGCCACTGAGGGAGTCGAGCTTTTCTTGAAACGTCGTTGCAGGCACCTCTTTGGAAGCCACATCGCGCAATATACGAACAAGGACATTTACAAGTACAAGACGGACTCTGATAAAATTGATTGTTGTATCACTCTTATAATCCATTTTGTCTTAAAATTCACCAAGTCATCCGAAAGGTCTAAAAATAAATTTTGGTGATTTAAGCATAACATTGTTCTTATTAAGAATGCAAACTGGATTTTTTTGACTTGACGTAAACTAACATGACTTTCTTGAATACCTTAAAAAGTAAGAAGCGATTGAAGAAAAATTCCTTCTGAACAAATGAATTTTTCTGAACAAATGAAAATTTTTTTGTCTAATTTCTGTAATTAAAGTTTAAAGTTGAAGTTTTGAATTTTGGGGTCTAGATTTATCTTCATTTAGATTATCTGATGATAAACGAATGATATTTTACAGTACGTTATTTGAAATGTAACATTTCCTTCCCTAATATAACATAATATAAAACTGATTTAATGTTTGTATTGCCTGTGGAGTAGAAGAATATACAGGGAATATTTAGCCTAGAGTCTGCCATTCTGTCTTTCCCACTCTTCATCTTAGTTAAGAAGTTGGGAATTTGATATGTTTATGTTTTTTAAAACAATGGTCAATGTAAAGTGCCATGGTTATCAATTGACCACAAGACTTTTGGTCATTACCTTGGATATACTTTTTAAATTACATAAGATATGTACATGTCACAAAAACTGTTCCTATTTAAGCATTTTTGTAAACAGAGTATAAATTCACCCGATAACCTCAATTAAGGTTTCGTCAAAGGTCAATTACATGTCTAAAAAATTATTTTTACAATAGCTCTAAAACTATGTGTGATTTAAAGTCAAAACGTTTATAGTTTATACGTATGATTAATAGATAGAAAGTATCACTTGATAACAAATATTTTTTTAAAAGATACTTTTGAGAAAAATTGTATAAAAAAAAATGTGCCTATTTAAAGAAAAATGCACCTGCTTAATTCTGTCATTTTAATGAAAACCAACATTGTAGAAATAATATATGTTTATCAATGCAGGGCAAGTTGGATATGAATGGTCTCTGAAAAGCTGTTATTGAAAGCATGACATGTATAAAGACAGGGCCCCTATAGAATTCGACATTTGCAATGTACATTCACTTTCAAGTCTTAACATTTTGATAAAATAAACAGGGAAAACAACTTTCCAGAGGCTATCCAAGTCCAACTTGCCCTTAATTTATAAACATATTTTGTTTCTTCAATGATGGTTTTCACTAAGAGCACGAAATTAATTAAGGTGTATTTTTTCAAAAGATATATGCATTTTCAAGAAGAATTTTTCTCAATTAACTATTATTCCAAGTATTTTTTTTATCAAGTGATATTTTCTATCAATGAAAAATTTATAAACCGTAAAAGTTTTAACTTTACACCTCACATAGTTTTGGGGCTATTGTAAAAATGAGTTTTTGGACCTTTGACGAAACCTTAAGTCACAAGTGCGACGCAGGGTTTAAAAAGCTTGTTGTAATGCCACGGAGATAATTATTTACTTCGGTCCTTAATATTAATCATATTAATTAGTACTAATTCCTTACTTCGAGGGTTCAAATTCCACCGCTGGACGCTAAACCGATCCTTTTGATGTCCGAATACACTAAGGTCCTTTCTCTCAGTAGATGTTTACACGAAAAAGATATCCCTCACTGCCCAAAGACTCAAAGTGCTAAGTACAAATATATATACAAGTATTTGCTTTCCTAAAAAGCTTGTCTGACGTGGTTTGCTTAAATTCATAAAGCGGAAAGAAATAATATATTATGTTATATAATTTCTTTCGTTCGATAATATATCTTCAAGAGACCACGCGTAATCAATATTGTATACAATAATGTACAAAGAATTTTAAATTGAAGCTCCTGACTCCAAAATCATGAAACATTACCTAAGACTTAAGTGAAATTTTTAATCGCCGATAAAATATTTATTAATTATGGATTTTATTTCTTCATTTACACATAACAACATCTCTGTGAAGCAGTATTAACAAGAGATGTTTGTAAAACACTTATGCCCCCATCCCCCAAATTGGAATTTTTCCAAGTCCAAAGGGCATAACTCTGTCAAAAATGGGGCGATCATACCCAAATCAGAACTTGACCTTGATATTTATCTGATATATCTGTATACCAAATTTCATTTCAGTATGTACAACGGTTGCAAAGAAAATGAACGGAAACGGCAAATAATTGAAAATTTTCTAAGTCCAAGGGGCATAACTCTGTCAAAAATAGTGCGATCGTACCCAAAACAGATCTTGACCTAGATATTCATGTGTTATATCTGTATACCAAATATTTCCTTTCAGTATGTGCAATGGTTGCGAAGAAAATGAACGGAAATTAAGTGGACCTACAGACCGACAGACCGACCGACCAACCGACCGACCGACAGACAGCAGCAAAGCAATATGCCTTCCCTTCTTCGAAGGGGGGGGGGGGGCATAAAACATCCCTATCCCTAACCCTAACCCTTCTGGTCTGTTTGACTTTTACAACATTTTATCATAAAATAAAAATTTTGATCGACTTTGGCTTAAGATGTTTTAAGATCCCGGGTCAGCATTTTTCAAGTAATGTATTATATGTTAAATGTCTTAACTGATTTTTTATTCAACAAACAGAATAAAATGAAGGTTGTAAATGATGAAATCAAAGGGAAGATCTTTGATCACTTAATGGGCGCGTATTACCCTAAAGGTCGTGTCACGTTGTCACGATTTATGCTACGATTACCCACGAATTAATAAAAGTTGAAAATCGCCGTTCATCGCCAGGTTTGTCTTGCGATTTTTCTACAGCGTGTAGAATATTTTGCTGCTAGAATAGTGTGTCTGCGATGTCTGTGCGACAGAGTACGAGGTTTCTACGATTTAAGTACGAACTAAGGCGACAGCGTTACGGACTGGTTACGATATTTCTACGATTATGAAGGATTAAACGCGGTTACATACGATACTCGTACGAAGGACTACGATATGCCAAGTTACATACACGATATTCCCACGACTAATGGCGATTTCTTACGATTATACAATTCATGTAATGGAATGCATATATAGAGTAATGGGAGATTTGTCATAGTTATATTATTTGATCATGGTAAAAACTACAGTGTGGAACTTTTGATTATGTTTAATCTCTTCGTGTGTTTATTGTACACGCTGTTTATAGTTTCTGCTATACATGTATTTTCAGTTTATTCACTTTTCTAAGCTTCTTTCCTTTTATTTTAGGCAGTATTTTGATTTCGACAGTGTTAACATCAGA